ACTCTCAGATTTCCACATCATTTTATGATTTCACGCAGTGTTATTCTGATGGCAAAATTATTTCATCCAGTCTCAAATATAAGGGAGAGAATTACACAAAGCCAATGAATATGTTCTAACTCCACCATTTTCCATGGAGCAATCTCTCCTTTGCTAAAGCTGCTGATCTAACTGCTTATCACACGTCCATAAACACTTTATGTCAGAGGGGAAAGCGAGAATAAAGAAACAGACATTTAAGTTACGGCAAGATTTGTTTAGGTTTTTTTAGTGAAAAGCAGTACACTGAAATTGTTTTCAGAGGACAAGACGACAGTAAAAATTAGCGCAATGATCTTAAAATTATTGAAGACAAGCCAACCACATAGGTCTTAACTACTGCAGCAGGCTGCCTGCAGAGCACTGGGTTTGTACCTCCAGCCCCAGCTCCAAGCAGCGGCTGCCCTTGGAGCAGTCCCGTCAGGCAGGGCAGGGAGCAGATCCAGATGAAAGTTATATATTAAATATATATATACAAATGCTGTCATAAAATTACTAGTGCCAGGGCTGGTCATATGTAGAGAGCAAGGCCAATGGAGAACCTTTTGGAAACCCCCCACCCGTTGAGTATAGCCTGCGTATCTCTGCTCCTTCCCTGCCCTTCAAGCCAGCGAGCCTCTTCCCCTTCCCCTCTAGCTGATGGCTCTTCGCCCTGGCAATGAGGGGACGGGCAGCACTTTTTCGGCCGGTCCTTTGGAAAGAGCCCGGGCGTCCTCTGTCCTTTCCTGACTCCGGCCTTTTCCAAGAGGGATCCTAAGTTCATTTTCTTTGTGAAAGAGCTTAATGGTTACCCAGTAAGAAGATTAACTCTAGAAAGTGTATTAAGGTGGCAAAGAGTATGAGAAAAACAAAACAAAAGCAAGATCAAAGTAAATCCAAAGTAAACAGAAAACCATCCCTTCCGTAAGGGTAGAGGAACCAACCTCACAACGCTTAATACAAGTAAATCTGAGTGCTATCCATGATTTTAATAAAACCTTATCTCTTGTTATTACCACTGGCTGTACTCGTGTCAGTGTGTCTTGGGACTACTGCAAATATTGTCCCCTACCCTCAGTGCTGCCTCTCTTCTAACTCATCTTTGCAATCTGTGAGAAAGCCACTGAGCTGGACGGGACATCTAACCAGGTTCAGCATCTGTGCAGCGAAGCAAAGCCTGGCTCCTCGCTATACAGAGGTTTCAGTCACAGGAAAGCTGAGGGTTCTTGTCTTCTCTCACTCCTCTTGATCGCTTACTGTTCTTCTGTCCTTGGAGGAGGCCAATCCAATTGTCACCACCTCCATCGTGCATTCACCTTTCAACACCGGCATCTTTCCAGATTTCTCTGCGGGACAGGACAAAACAGGCCCTTGCAAACCTCAGGGAGGGCATCCTCCGGGAGGATTCTCTGACAGATCTTCAGGGAAAACCTAAGCATGTCCAGTGCTCTCTAGTACACTCCACTGCCATGCCCTCAACTAGTTCCCGAGCAATTTTAACACCTCTCCGCCCTGCTGTGACAGAAGCACCCACCTCACCCAGGTGCTGCCATGGCACAGATGTATGAAAGCGTAAATGCAGCCATCCTAGCTTAAGCCTCTTCACAGAGTTGTCTATGTCAGCAGGGCTTCTTCGGCAGCTACCGAGGCAATTGTCCAAGAGGCAACCAGCCCACCTGAAACCTGAACTGACTCTGCAATTCCAGCTTTCCACAGGGGCTGAAAAAAAAGCTCGGGAGACCAGGCTGGACAGCAGGCACCTCAAAGCAGTGCCACCTGAAAGCAGCCTGGCCCAGGTGGCCACGTTCAAGCACTGCTGCCAATAACGGGCCAGCTCCAAGAGGAGAGAGAAGTGGCTAAGTGTATTAGATAACATGCCAACACATGCCACTCTTCTGCATAGAAGTTCCCTCTCCCAGAGTGTCCTCTTCTGACCTGCTCCAGGCTTGTTTTGTTGCCTCTAACCTCAAAGGCTATCCTTGGAAACCACCAGTTGTTGCAAACATGGAACTGAATGAAAAAATTCACTACTCGCTAGCGGTGAGGCAACCACAGTATGCCAAGAGATCTGCTCCCGGTTTGGGTCCACAGAGAATGATCCCAAACAAAGAATTATCAGGGTCATACAACGGGAGCCACCAATTTTCAACTTGGACCTTACAACATCAATGGGAAAGGAGCAGGGAAGCCACAGGTGGATGCCCAGGACCTGCCTGCTTTTCCAAAAGTATGCGAGGGAACTGTTGCTAAGCAGAGACAGAGCATCTCAGGACGGAGAAAGTTAAATACCACTGGGGTTGGAGGCTCGTAGTTGGTTAAGAACACTTTCCCAGGTAGGCTGAAAGTACTGGAAGGTATGGTTGCTTCAAAATGTTACAGCTGCTTCCAGCTAGATGAGTGTGCAGGGCAAGAGCTGTCCTAAGGCATGGTCCTGTGTCCCTCTCCATGTTGTCATGTGGGTGACGATCACAAAACCCACGCTGCCAACCTAAAAAAGGAAGGGCTTGAGGTCCTACTGCAACTACAAAGCACTGGCCACCAGCACTGCTCCATGAAGAGAAAGAGATACAGAAACAGAAAGAAATAAAAGGGTAAAATCTTCTGAGGAACACATTTCACAGTTTGACGAGAAAGCATCCAGAACCCCTACTTTAATTTTACTTAGGTGTCTTTCTGCTCAGTAAGAACCTACTGAAACACAGACTGAAGGAGTATTCTGGCTATAATATTGCTACACTGTTAATTGCACCATTCCAATTAGCATTAAAGGTTGCAGAACTGAAAATTAAGGATGTAGGTAGGCAGGAAAGTTATTGAAGGTATACAGAATTTTGTTCAAAGCCTTTCTTCCTTTAAAACACGGGCACACAATGCTCTCCTTCATCTTTGCAAAAATAGTGACCGATGAAAGAGCTTAGGTCCCAGTCCTGCTCCAAGCAACTGTTATAAACTGACTTCAGCCTGTCGCAGTTCTTATACACACACAAATAAATAAAAACTGGAATAGCCTCTTTCTCCAGCAGACTCGTACCTCACTATATGGCCTCACTGACTGTCAGCCTTCCAGATGGGATACCAAAATAATGAAAGCCAGTCACTCTGCTGTCAAGGCAAGAAAACCCATTCTCTTTCCAGCTCCTGCTGTCATAACGCGATGGATTATTCCCTCGCTTCCTGCACGGCATGCTACGTTCTGCTCAAGAAAGTTGCCAGGCATCACCACAACTTCACAAACTTGATCGAGACAGGAGTTTCAGTCAATCAGTAACAAAAGTTGAGATCTAAGGTGATTTCTCAGGCCAGCTTCGAAAGGCATACAGTACAAGGGTTCCATTGTGCAAAGTTCATCAGCAGGACAGGGGCTAATTAACTAAGCGGCTTTTTGGAACTAGTTAGTTTTCAAGTAACAGTTTTCACTATAAACAGTCAGGCATTATCTACATCAAAAGTTGAAAACTTCGGAGCGCGCTTCCAAGCTGGATTTATTAACAGATTTCACTACTAGTAGCACTACCGAAACATCTATTTTTACACCCAATTCTGCACAAGAAGTCTATTATCTGTATGC